CTTATGTGTAATCATTTTCATATGTCTTTGACTCCCCACGAAAAGACTTTGTCAGTCAGTTTTGCCTATGACTCGGCTGAAGTTTTAGGACAATTGTGGAAGTGTGTATGGACTCTCTTTAAAACTACAATGCAAATTTACACAAATCTGAAGATAATTCTGCTTTTAATACGATAGGAAAAACTTGAAACTCTCTTTTGATTCAATGTTAAATTGTATCTTATATTTTACTGATATTTTCTATTCGCGAGATACACTAAATGCACTAAATGCGTAATATTACTGTTAAGATATCAGCAAGATTTATTGCCATATGTACTTTATTGTCTTGTTGCAATACATTATCATATCACATTTCTGGACTGTCTTACAGTCTTTGGCAGCAAGATCGTTTTGGAATTGTCTATGACGTTTTAAATACTGTCCTTAACGATTTCGTGTTTGACTTGCTCTACATTTCAAAGTTAACTAATACTAATATGTAAATCTTAAAAGACCGTATAATAATAAACGAATATAATGATAAAGTAATATTACTTGTGCAACAAATCTGTATAATAACTAAAATATTATCTATGTAGTATCTTTTATTTGTTTATGTGGCATCATCTACATCTGTCATTCCGAGAAAATCTTGTACAATTCTAAAAACCGCCCGTTAGGCTCCGAGATTTTATCCAAGCGCCGTACTTAAAAAAAACAAAACAAAAAAACAAACAAACTCGAAGCTAGATTCCAAAATGAATAGTAAAGTTTTCTCAAAATATTTCGATTTTAAAGCAATTGCTAAATACTCATACTCATATAGTTCAAAATTTCCATTCCGTAATTACTATAGAATATATATGCGTTGAGCTTAACATTAAAGAAGAAAACTGTAGAACGCATTCATGAAAGACACATTCATGCTGGCGTTCCACCGCCCTTCAGGTTCCAATAACAACGTTAGTTTGGGGCGTAGGAACACCAGGCGACAGAGCTAGGGTGTTTTAAGTACCAAACTGGTCCATCGCCGCCTGAATGACAATGGCAGTAAAGTTTTAAAGTACGGCACTATGATTCCTTACGAAAATGCTCTTAGCACCTGAATGTTGTCTCAGCATCTATAGGGGAAGGCTTGTTCAGTAGTAATTCGAGGTGTCATGGCGTCTGATTTTGATGACGTCTCAAAAGGCGTGATTCTATTATTCATTTTGATCTTTTCAATTTTCAAAAAGGATGGAAAATAATGCTTTTAATGGTTAAATTTTCATTAAACAGTCATCGAAATAACCCTGTGGATGAAAAGAGAGAGCGACTATGTTTATACATGAATGATTCTCAAGTGGAATTGCTCGCAGTGGGAGTCAAGCTAAATGCCTGTATTTTTAACTCAGCTTGAAGGAATTAACACTACCTACTTTTATTATTACCTCCATGCACTCACTGAATGAATGAAAGGTATTGTATATAATGTGCAAGGTACCAGACCCGGCTATTTTTAAAATGGCACATGTTCATGTTTACATTTTGTACAATACCCAAGTGTTAAAGTTTTAATGGCTTTGCAGGAGTTTTTGACTTCATAGTCTTGTTGGCCTGGTATCCTACACATTGAATAAAATATCTTTCGTTCATTTATTGAGTGCATGGAGGTATTAGTAAAAGTAGGTATACTTAATTCCTTCAAGCTGAATAAAAAAATATAGGCCTAGTTGAAAATAATCAGAATAATCTTCCAAAGGCTAGTTGTCATTGCTGATGAGTGATGATCTTCATCTGTCTTTAACTAGGTATTTTTTCTCTGTCCCTAAGAAAATATCTGACGCATTTTTTACCTATGATTCGGCCAAGGTTTTAGGAAAGTTGTGGGTGTCCCACTCGGGTAAAGATTGTCCTGAAAACAATGCAAATTTACAAAATACACGAATATGATCATAAAAAATTGAATGTCCCTTTTGATTTATTGGGAAACGTTAATTTAGTCTTTTCCTCCCCATTCCTATCCAACGTCTTTAATTTTGTCCTAAGTGCAAGAACTGCCTGTGGTTTGCCCTGAAGCAATTTTTCTTCTGTTGAAGATCATTCCGCTCAGAAAGGCCTCTTTTGATAAATATCGAACGTTAATTGAGCCGCGTCCTACATCTTTATTGTTATATTTTATTAAAAGATACAAATTAGCAGTAACCGCCTTTACTGATGCAATGACAATAAACGCAGGATACCACATCATATTTAGATAAACTAAATGTGTAATATTACCATTATGATATAAACAAAATTTATTGCTATATATACTATATCGTCTTCTTACAATAGATTATCAAAATAGGGTCTATAACGATATAAATATTTGTTTTAATTAGCAGCACGGAGAAAATAGACCAAATCGCAAAGAACAGTCATAGACCTTTTGTTAATACCGCCCCGTACATTTGATTAATTTGATGAAGAGACAGATCTTGTTTCTGCTATGATTTCGATATGTTTATCTGACCGACTCGATAAGGCATGCAAATCA